GCCCGCGGCAGCTCTGCCTCCACTTACTTTCCCTCTTTGCAACGCTCACCTGGGAGGCCGAGGTTAGAGGCCGGCAGCTGCGCACCCAACCGCCCATCCGCGCACCCTGCGCATCCACCCACTCCTAACCGATGCTGTCCTGGACTTCCCTGCCCAACTCCTTTCTATCACCAGGACCGCACACCCTCGAGACCCTAGCTCGGGCAAGACCAAAGGGTCACACCCCACAGCCCACACCGAGACCCATCCGTGCCCTTCCCGAAAGGCTCCACACCACCTAACTGCTGGAGACAATCTGCCCATTTTCTCGGCCAGGGCTTCTCACCTCCCTTTCCAACCTATTCCTCCAGTGTACGGCCACCGCTTTCAAACAAGATGCATATCTTCGCCTTAATTCTAGGGTGGAGGTGTGGGTGCAAAGAACACTGCCCTGTGTGTGCCCTTCCTCCATGCCCTAACCCTCCCAGTTTACCCGCTGACCTTGCCAGTGGTGTAGAAGGCCCTGGCGCAAAGTAGGGGTCAGAAAAGGGATCCTTTCAGCTTCTCCTGCCTGGAGGTGGTTCAGGAGCTGTCAAGACTCTTGGGCCAGCATGGCTGGTGCTGAGGCTGGTAGAGCAACAGGGAGAGACAGGGGCCTACGGACTTGCTGGTAGGAATGGAGACCCAGGCGTCCCACTCCCTGGCTCCGCCCCAACCCCTGTGAGCACCCTCCTACCCTTCATTGAAGTAGGGCGAATAAAAATGCCTTGGGTTCCTGGAATCGCCCTTTTTACACCTGAGGTGTGTGGGTGTGTGGGGATTTCTGACTGGAAGCCTGTACATGTGCGTATGAGTGGTGTGCATTTATCTGTCCACATACACAATATACATATTTTAGAAGGGGGTCAGAGAGGGAAAGGAATAAATACACTTATAAGGCCCTCTAGTGGAAACAAAGGAACCTAAGAAGGTCTAGATAGATTGCAGACAGGCTTGTTGAAAGAATTTCTCCACTTTTATCAGAAATATAGATCTTGTAGTAACAGGTTTTGAGAGTATTATTATTGTATCTAAACTGGGCATGTAGGGGCTGGGGAGATAGCTCAGTTGAATAATCACTTGCCTGGCAAGCTCAAGGGCCTGAGTTCAATCCCCGGCTCTGCCAAAAAAAAATAAAAAAATAAATAAATAAATAAATAAACTGGGAATGTGGGCCGGGGAGATGGTTTAGTGGAATAAGTGCTTCCCTGGCAAGTGCAAAGGCCTGAGTTCAATCCCTGGTTCTGCCAAAAAATAAAAAAATAAACTGGGAATGTGGTGCAGGGTGTGGAGGAGGGTCTGTATGCTTTGGTGTCTCTACAGGTCTCATCCACAGTCTTGATAAAAGACAAGGGCCCTGCCACTCCTCACCCCCACTTTTCTTTTCTTTTTTTTTTTTTTTTTTGGCGGAGCCAGGGATTGAACTCAGGCCCTTGCGCTTGCCAGGGAAGCACTTATTCCACTGAGCCATCTCCCCAGCACCCCCTCCACTTTTTTTCTGTAGTGCTAGAGACTGAACCCAGAGCTTACAACATGTTGCATGTGCTCACCCTATTCCCAATCCCATTGTTCATTCTTTTTCCTCTCTCTGTCTCTGTCTCTGTCTCTGTCTTTCTCAACAGTCTTATTGTGAATCCTAGGCTGGCCTAGAACTCCAGGCCTCCTGCCTCAACCCCTGAGTAGCTGGGGTTACAGGTATGATACACCACACTTGCTCATCCTTAACAGTGTTTTCTTTATCATAAACAACTTCATCTTCCTCTATGACCTCCTTAGTCATAGTCAACACTTTTGAAGGCTGACTATACACCGGAGACTATACTTAGCCCTGCAGTCAGGCAAAAACAGCTCAGTTGAAGGACTGCACCAGAGTGGTTTCATGTGTAGCAGACTTCTCTCTGCCCTAAACCACCCTAAGTAAACATATAAGAGTAGACCCATAATCCCTCTTTAATAGTTTCTACACAAATTTAAAGACATTCTTTTAAAGTTTTTTTTCCCTGTAGCTCAAGGTATTTATTATTATTATTATTATTATTATATGTTTGTTTGAGGGTTTCACTTTGTATTCCAGGCTGGGCTTGAACTATGTGGCCCAGGTTGGCCTCTAATACCAGTGATTCTCTTGTCTCAGCCTCACAAATGTTAGCATTCATTTTTTAAAGTTTTACTGAATTTCAAAGTGGGAATGTGAGGTTATTTCTCTAATAAGGAATAGGATGGAATCAGTTTTGTTCTAGTCTTGTTTTTGTCTTCATTAGGATCTGTGCTCTATTATACCCTGTCAGTTATTGGTGGGGGTGGGGGTAAAAAGGCCAAGAAACATCTGAAGAGGCGTCTAATGCCTAAGGTTCCAGGTGCTCTTTTCTTTAATCAACCACATCATAAAAGTCAGAAAGAAAAAAACCCACAATGAACAAAGGGAAAGGAAAAAACAACAGCTTGTTCTCCCCTGCTTTCTTTCCTCTCTTCCTCCTCAGGATAGGGGGGCCACATCCGGGGCCCAGAGCTGGGTACTAGGCTAGTCTACTAAACAGACAATAGAGTTTCACTTCCTGTCAAGCTCAGAGCTGGGGCAGGATATATGAGGGTACAGGGGGTTAGGGTGGCAGAGAAGGTTGGGTAGTGAACAGGGCCACTTTAGGGTTCCCCCTTGCAGAGCAGCTTCATTGGAAGTTCCATTCAGAGTGTTGGAAATAAGCCCCTAGACTCAGTTTGTTGGAGCAGATAATGAAGCACTCAGATACCAAGAAATCTTAGGCAAGGCTTGTTACTTTTGCAAAAGGGCCCAAACTTGAGGTAGCAGGCCTAGGATAAAGGAGGGTTGCCCCTTTTGCAGAAGGATTCTCATTGGCTGGTTTGGAGGTTCACAATCTATTCCAATTAGCTCAGAGGGGAGCCTGAGAGGCTGCTGAGGGAAAAGAACAGAGAAGAGGGGAATGTGGAGAACAGAAAACCCTTAGCCCATGATAAGCTATCTGGTTTGTAGCTGTGTTCCCAGGATTGGAACTGAGTGGGCATTTTCTGTAATCTAGTGTGTTCAGGAGGGTTATCTAAGATAGCTAGAGTTCAAGATGGAGCCAGTCCTGCTTGATAGAAAACACAGAACTTACTGTTTCCCGTAAGAGACTTCCTCTAGGAGTTCAGTCAAAAGGAGTATGTCCCACTAGTTTTCTGAAGCTTCATCCCATCCACTCACAGCATTATAAAGCTAAAGATAGGATGCTAGCTAGTGAGGGCTAAAGCAAAATTGGTGAAACAGGGCCAGGGATATAGTGGCATAAATGCCTGCCTGGCAAGTGGACAGTCCTGAGTTTGATCCCTGCTAAAAAAAAAAAAAAAAAAAAAAAAAAAAAAAAAGGGCCAGGGAGATGGCTCAGTAGAATAAGCGCTTCCCTGGCAAGCACAAGGGCCTGAGTTCAATCCCCGGTTCCACCAAAATAAATAAATAAATACCCCCAAAAAAACACATTTAAGGTTGGCATTCTGAGCTCTTGCACTGTACTGTATGCAAACTGTTTGTTTTGGAGGTGTGAAATTGAGGGGTATCTTGTTGTGTTGCCCAGGATGACCTCAAACTACTTGGCCCATGCGATTCCCCTGCCTCAGCCTCCAGAGTACTGGGATTACAGGCAAGCAACACTGCCCACTGTATCCACATAGTTGTTAAATGAATCTTTTTTTTTTTGGCTCCGAATGCCCTCAGGGGTGGTTTGGCCAGCTGGAGTGTTGTGGGGATCGAACTACAGCAACCTGAGGCTGACAGCTTTGTGGAAGCAGCCACTTAAACAACTGAGCTAAGGCCAGGCCCCCAAATGAATCTTTTTGAAAGCTGAACTAGGCTGTATGTTGAATAAGGAAATCAGAGAATGGAAAGGCAGGCAAAGGTGTGACCCCAAGAAAACTTGAATCTCAGTTTAAGCCTTAGGATTGTCCACTGTTTTTTATTTTTATTTTTAATTTATATATATATATATATATATATTTTTTTTTTTTTTTTTTTTTTCGGAATCAGGGATTGAACTCAGGCCCTTGCGCTTGCCAGGGAAGCACTTATTCCACTGAGCCATCTCCCTGGCTCTTTTTTTTTTTTTTTTTTTAAATGAGGCTTTGCTTCCTAGAGTTGGAGTTATCACCCCCTCTCTCCTCCCTGATGGAATAAATACCCTTGGACATTATCTTAAGCCACAGTGGCGAAAATAGAGGAAGGTAAAGGGTCGACAATGAAAAAGGAGTAAAGGGATGGAGGAGGGCCCAGTTGACCACTGAGAAACCTGGGGCCAGCCGCTCCCAGGCTGTAGGAGAAACAAGTTTAACAGGACTTGGCCCTGCAGGAACAACGGTTGCTAAAGCAGAGGGGGAGGGAACTTCTGGTTCTTCTGAAGAATGATGAGGCAGAGTCGGGGCAGGACTACAAAGGGAGTGACTACGCCGACCTGGATTATTGGCGAGGTGTCCTGCTTTCTATCTCCAGTGCCCGGGGACGTGCACGAGGTTAATTAGAACACTAGCGGGGTCCGCCCTGGTACCACCGCCTGCCCTCTGACCCAGGGGCCTTTCCCTCTGGAGGCTTCCCCGGAGGCCGCCGAGTCCCCGGGGCCGCCCCTGGGCCGAGCCTGGTCAGGGCTGCCCGCCCCAACCCGGCCCGCCCCACCCAGCACCGAACGCCGCGTCAATCCAGAGGCCGCGGGGACAGGTGACCGACAGGCAGCGCCCTCCGGCTTGCACGCCTCTTTTGTGGGGCTCTGTCCAGAGTTAAGCTGGCTAGCGAGGGCAGTCGGTACGCGAATTTGACCTCGGCACCTCCTTAGGGTTAATCGAGGTCTTCCTGTCGAACTCAGCAACACTGGCGCGCCCCACGTCATCAGGCTGCTCTAGGGCACGGGGAAGGCCTGGGCCTGGACAGTCTTTCCTTTCCTCGTTTACCAGTCCCCAGTTTGGGTACAGGTGGGCCTTGTGGCCTTTCACTCTCGCAGGTCCTGGTCGCAGGAGTGCTTGGCCGAGAGGAAGACTGTGTGTTGGAACTTCTTTCGGCCCCCAGAAGACTGTTTTACTTGCAACCGGCGCTCATTAATGGTATATGGGGAAGTAAACGAGTCCGAGGCTTTATTTTACCAGACTTCAGCTTCTAGCTCCATCTTCCTTCTACCCTACCCATAAAATGGTGCACTCTCCCTTTAAGACTAAAATGGTGGCTCGCTGTGATCAGGACTCCACTTCCGGTGGGTAGGGGGGCGGGACCCCAGCCCGCTCACGCCGGAAGTGGTTTGAGTTTTCAAGATGGCGACTCCCTATGTAACTGATGAGACCGGCGGTGAGTGCGGGAGTCGCGGAGCCGTTTCTCCCCGGGCTCTCGGGGTAGGGGTTTGAACTTGGAAAGGGGTCTGTGCCCCGCCCATCCCGGGGCCCCTCCTTTGCCCCGCCCCCCGGACCGCCTTCCCCATTCATTCTCCCCTACCAGGGTGTCACCTGCGCCCCCTTCTGGTCTGGTGTTTTTTGGGGGTCTCTGCTTCCGGTCACCCAAACCCCGGGGTCTTTTAATGCTCCCTATGCAGGACCCCCATGTGTCCTCAGCTTTTGTCTAGCAGTTGGAGCTCCCATGTCTCTTTTGGGTTTTCCATCTTTAGGAGCTCCTCAGTCATTTCCCTCCAATTCCTGTCCTTCTCTTTCCCCTCACCCATATGTCTTAGCTGTACCTTTCTGCCCTATCCCAGCCCTATTTTCATTCTTTTTCTCAAAGCTGTGTTTGTTGAAGACCTCTACATTGCTACATAGTGTTTTTCCTACACTCGCCCTAATTTTCATTTGTTAGGTCACTGAGATCCAGGGATGTCAAGTTAATGTAACTTTGATCTTGAGTTTTTTCATTAATAGAACCACCCTTCTCCACCTTCTCCGGTGATAGTATTAGGAACTGAGGGGTTTAAGGCAAGGTGTCTAGTGGCCTTTTTCCTAAGGTCTTTGCCAGGCTGATAGAACCCACTATTCCTTCTGGCTTGGGAAACACTTCAGCCTGCCTGTCTGAGATTCTGAAGTGTCAGCTCTGTATGTGAGAAGCAGAATCAAGGCTTCTTTCGTGGTTTTGTCCCATCTTAATTGCTTTGTCATTAGAAAAATGGGCATAATAGTAATACTGACTCAGTGGTGATAAAATAATGTATGGAAGATTTTAAGTGCTGTGTAAGTGCAAGGCAGTTCTGTTTTTTTTTTTTTTTTTTTTTTTTTTTTTTTTTTTTT